GGTGTTGAAAAATGAATTGGGCACAGGAGAAGAATAAATAATAAATATGCCTTCTGGCAACACAGCAAGAAACTGCTTGTTTGTCTGCTCACCTTCAAAGAGGGCCTGTACATCGTGTTCTCCCCTCACAAGTTCTTAAAGACTTTGTTGGGACTGAGAAATTTAAACCCATGTTTCTAAAACAAATCTAAATATTTTTATACTAATGCCAGCACAATGAAACCTAACCTGTCTGCACTTTCTATGCAGCAGCAATGTGTTACTGATATTGTTACTATTAATTACTGCTGCTGTTATTTCTAGTGATGGCAGAAGACTGCAAAACACAGCCTGAGAGCACTGCATGCCCCCAGTGACAGACAGTCCCTACAGTAAGCTGCCTATAACTTATCAGTTAGATAAAAAATGTTATCCCCAATTTACAGATGAATTTAAAGGTACAATTAGTCCCAAAATGATTTAAAACCTGCAGACTTTTTTCAAAAATCTTGACAGGGTCCTTTCACTGGAAGCTCAAGAGGCTCACCTCTTAGGGTTATAATGCAATAGGCATACAGTGGTATTTGTAAACATGTCTACACTGTGGCTTCAGAAAGATTGAGTTTAGATGCAAAAATACTTTGTAAAGTATTTAAATTACTTATAGAAATATTATTATTTCTAAAAAAAAGGTTATTTATTCTTCATACACAAGAAAAAGTACACCTTTTCTAATCTAAATCTAACTCTACAACTTCTCCAGAATCCCTATAGAATTCGAACTGTTCAGAAGAAAAGCCATATGATGATCATTTACCAATTTGAATGGCTGCAGAAGCAACTCTGAGGTAATCCAATTGGTATGGTGAAGAGGGGAGTGATGGATAAAAGTATCATTACATTTTCAGGGGTGTATTTATCTCTTAGTTTTCCTGAAAGCCCATTTTTGGCAGAAGTTACAGAAATTCATCTGCTTCTTAATAAAGTCTGTAAATGAACCAGAATAATTCCATCTTCTTTATTAAAAAAACAGTAAGATAAGTCATTTATTCTAAGTGTCACTGGCATAAAATTTAGGAAAAATAATTTATTAGAGACAGTTGAATTTTTAGAACTAAGAGACTTTATCTTTAAACACGTGCAGTATTTTCGCAATTAAATGTTTAGCAAAAAGTTGTTTCCATTATTTTTCATGCCTTTTTAAAATTCTTAAATAGATTATTGAAATTGATTAACAGGAGTAAAAAAAAAAAAAATGTACATAATCATTTGATTTAATTTCTTAATAATGTTCACAAAGAATGTATGCAGGAAAAGGTTATGAAAAAAAAGCATAATGAAATTAAAAATGGCCCCAAACTGTTCAAGAGAGCAGACTTTTAGTTCCTAATAGCTATTTATTTATTTATTTATTTGGGGTTGGGGGTAAGGAAGCAGGTTAATGAACCTAATGAGTTTTATTGAGCTTTCTCTAGAAACATCATCTTTTTTGAGCTAAGGGTGATTCCATTCCATTTGGAATTGAATGGTCATTTTATAAGGAAAATTATTTTTCAGTGTAACAGAATTAGGAAAAAAAAAAATCCAGTGTGCATACCAGGTAGCATCTGGTTATAAGAAACAGACTAGTGGATCAAAGGCATATCTGGGAAGGTGTTTCATCTCACTTGCTTTCAGTGATCCGAAGGGTTGCTGAGGTGACTAAATTCTGTCTGTGACCAACGGAGGCAGACAAGAGTTGCAGGCTGACAGTTCACTCTCTCCTCACATGTTGTCTGTGATAGATGGGATGTGCTTTCTTCAGAAGATTCCTGTGCTCCTAGTGTAATAAATGGCTCAGTCTTCAAAATAGGACTATGATCAAAGTTTAAAATTTATTAAAGGAATAGAGGTAAGCAAACAGTGCTGGGTGCGCCAGGAGTCTCTACTTCACCAAGACACACACCAGTTACATCAAGCAGCTGATTTTTATGCTCCTAGGCTGATACATATTCATTACTACTTCTAAAAAAAACAGGGTTATTATAATTAGTTTCTGGAATCCAAACCTTCCTACTGGAGCATGCGTATCAGTCTCCGGTGGTCCCTCTGGGGGTCTCTCGTGCTGAAGGCTCATAGTCTTCCTCCCTCTTGTCCTTCTCCTTTGTCCAACTTGGCTGTATGTCAGAGACTTGTGCAACATCCCCTGCAAGCTTTGTCTTTTAGTTGTTTTTCAGCTCTCCCTGTCTCCTTAATCTCCTGGCCAGATAGCAGAGACTTGCGTAGTGTCTCATGCAATAGTCACAATAATTAGCAGTTATTCTGAAACCCCCCAGATATCAGAGATTTCAAGGAAAAGTCTACAAATACATTTCCCTTCAAGCTCTCTATTGACACAAATTGCTAAATCATTCCTTTGCAAGATACAAGAATTATATACATTAACCACTCTTTTTTTCTTAGACTTGTGGTTATACAAGGGTATATAAGACAGAATGTATATGGTCACATTCATCATACCATGCGGCCCTAGCACTGTTCCATACTGACACAAATCAGATGAACATATCTCACACTGGCTTGGCTATAGATGGAGCCTGGACACATGTAACTTTCGGATGGCAAAAAGTGAGCCAAGATGAATCCTGTTCTGTCTGATTCCGTCTTGTCATTCCTATCAGAGACAGGAACCTCTTCCTATTTCTAACATGGAAAAGATATTATTAAAGTTGACTGACCAAAGGAACAAGAATATTTTGCTCTTTTAGGTGCACCAATAAAACCTGAATAAGCCTTTCTGGTTGTGGAAAGGAGTTAATGTATAGGTTTTATATAGCTAGCAGTAATTTCCAATGACATACAGAGCACTGCTCAAATGCAGTCCTTTGAAACATTGTGCTTCTTTAGCTGTCACCCTAAATTTATGACAAGTAGATATACAGTCTAGTTTTCTCTATAACTTTTCCAGAACGTGCATTAAATGAATTCTAAAGACTTTACATACTTGACTTGTTGATCGCTGCTGAGGAAAACAGAGGAAGAAATAAAATGACTTCATGTTATAAAAAGGAAGACTATATGCACTCTTAAATTGCACTCTTTAAATAGTGAAAAATTTTTACACTTTGAAAGATAAACTATTTTTCACAGTACAATTCCAAATCATTTAGATTTTCCCTTCTGACAATACTATGCATACAACGTACATTCAGATGATCTTCTCTGAGCAGTTTGCAGACAACTTGATAAAATTGAACCTCACGTTAAAAATACCCTGTAATTGTGAAAGAGATCTGACATTAGCAGAAATATTAATATTAATGTTAATAATAATAATAATAATAATAATAATAATAATAAATAAATATGCTATTTGCTTTAATTTGTGCACATCTTGTCCTTTTATAGGTTTTGTGCAAGCAGATATGGACAGAAAAAGCTTCTTTTTAAGTTTACAGCTCCTGGTGCAGTACAACAGTGACAAAATCTCAGTTTGAAAACAAAACCAGAACTGTATCCTTTACCAAGAGTTCGTGTTCACTAACCCATATGTAAATCTCCCCATGTTGATAAGTTACATGTAAGTCTGTATAAAGCTACTGTTCCCTTACATGCAAAATGACAGCAAGGTGTGGTAGTGGAGTTATTGCAGCAAGAATCCTGTCTGATGGGGTGTGAAGTCAGCAGATTTTCATTCTGTGGACCTCTAGCTGTGCTTTCGTCTATAAATGTGATGAAAGAGCAGCAGTTCTGCTTTTGTAAACCTCAGACAGGTTTGTGTTTTGCAAAGAGAAAGAAATCTTTAACAGCCTTTCAATAAGATGAGCAAGAAGACTCAGGCAAGGCCATCAGTCTATAGCTTGTAGTGAGTCTATGCTCCTAGAGTGATAGTTACATTTACAAGGATAATCTAATATTGGATTTAAGGAAGAGAAAGGGATGAAACTTCACATATACTTTCTTACTTCACTTCAAATTATAAAATCTGTACTGATTGTGAGTGGTTCTATAATTTGTAGTCCTAAATTTTAAGCAAAACTAAGCATGAGGATGTGTGTGCCAACTTTTAAAACACTATCCACTGAGTCTCACCTGCTTACCCCTGCCCTGAGCTGAAAAACCTGTCAAAGGATCTGAGAACTGAGAGAAACTTGGTCGTGGGAGAGTGTGATGGGGACCATTCCTTCACTGTCCACTGAGAAGTGACTTCTAAGCACGTTGGGTGGAGGACTGAGGTGGGCTTTTGATAGCAGCTGCAAACTACTGAAAAATTCTGAAAATCAAATGTGTGGCATTCCTTGTTGGAGAAACCCTGTTCAGTGGATGCCTCCGAGAAATGGAATGACATTTCTAAACAATTTAGAGCCTTAGATCTTGTCCATCTCATTCTCTAGCTCTGACAATGGCCAAGCTGCCTTTTAATCATGACTCCAATTGTCACATCTGTGTATCAGAGAATACTGCATCTGTCTGAGAGAAGGGTTGGTTGCTTTCTCTTTTTACCTATACCTTCTGCCCTTTTCCTCTGAAGTTCACAGGAAACTACAAGAGTGCTTGTATGTGTACATGTGGGTTTCTGCCAATGGATAACCTTGTTGATAATCTGGTAGCCCTCATCAAATTTTAATTATAAAATAAGGATTATAATCCTTATAAAATAACAGCTTCTGTTCCTTGCTTGTCACTGAGATTAGGTGTTTTTGTTTATTTGTTTTGTTCTTAGTTACACTTCATAATTAAAAGATCCGTGTTAGCTTAATGTACCTCTGCTCCTCCCAGAACAGCATAAAATAAAAAACAAACCAAACAAACAAACAAAACCACTATAAACTAATTAACCAGCTGCAGAGAAAAAAGCAATAAACAATGACCATGACTTTTTCAAATCTCTCTTTCTTCATATTACTCTAAAAGCAATAAGGATAAGCAATTCAATGCAAATGGTATTAAGGTAGGCTAGAAACAGCTGCTCACAGGGGCTGAACCAGATTTTCATCTCATATAAATCATGGTAAATCTACTGACTTCAGTAGAGGGATGCTGATAGCCTCTGAAGATTTGGGCTGCTGCATTTCAGGTCTGGTGCGTTTTCCTTACAATTTCCTTTTTAAATGGCTTGTAAATGACTTGTGTTGTAGAGAGAGAAGGGAGTGATAGTCAGCTGGTTCTGTTGAATACAGCTTGTGCCAAGGCTATTACTTAGAATGGTCTGCATCAGTAAACTTGGGAGGAGTTAATCTTAAGCAGTTACTACTGATGTCAAACTTTTTTTTTTATTGCTTCTGAAGAAGCACAATACATCTCCAGTAAACATCTAGCAAAGTTTCAAGGTACCGTTTTCATTAAACAAAAACTTTTTTTTTGTGGTTATAATATATATGAGAAAGATATAATGTAAGAGAAGAAGTCTGACTGTACGTGTTCCTTATCATTCACAAAACTGCCAGGCTAACCAAGTGGCATGTCACTAAAAAGTAGAAGTGGGGTCTAGTTTTACAGAAAACATCTGCTTAAAATAAGTAACAATCCCTACTCTCTCATATATGATTAATTGTATTTGAAACATTTTTAACATCAATATATATAAAAAAAAAGCAATAAACATTGCCAACAGCAGTAATTGTTACCTGTTTATTTCTGTATACCTACTGTTACAGTCCTTGTGACATTCTTTTTTTTTTTTAAAAAAAAAAAAAAAAAAAAACTTAATGTAAGTACTACTTGTAGTCTTACATTAAGATAAATAATTGAATATGTTACATTAAAATAAATATTTGAAAATGGTATTGAGGACCCTAAATTTCTGAATGTAGTATTTCAGTGTCTCTTTGTTTGAGATTTTGTCAGGGTTGGATTGTTTGTTTGCTTTTTATATTTTAAGAACCTGACTCTTTAGAGATTATTCTGTTCTGCATGATTAATATTTTTGTAAGTCTTGGGTGTGAGAACTTAAGTCACATTGCAGATCTGTGCAGCTGTGACTTCTAAAGCTCTCATTGGCTTTTGACAAGATAATTCAGATGGGAAAGGACTGGGGGTGGTCTCTAGTCTAATGTACTGCTTAGAGCAGCTTGTTCAGGGCTTGATCAAGTTGGGTTTCAAAATTCCGCGGATAGATATACTGCAAATTCTGTGTTCAGCCTTTTTTTTTTTTTTTTTTTTTTTCCAATGATTATGCTCATAATGAAAAACCTGTATAATATCGAGTGTTGGTCTCTCCTGTATTAACTTAGGAGATCTGTCTTTCACTCTCCTCCCTAGTGTAGGACCTGGTTCCATCTTTCTGGTAAACTTCTCATAGCTAGAAGACTAATTCTAAGGCTTCCTTAATGCTTCTACAATGATTATCTTTTCCAAGATAGCATTCATTCTCTTTCATGGCTCGTCCTTCAATCAAGCTGTCTTGGTTGTTTTGTAGTTTGCCTTTTTTTATTCTGGAGAGGGATGGAGAGAGAAGAGGCGTGAATAGGAAGTGAGGGTTGTAGAATGAATGGCTTGAAATTTAAAATAAATAATAATAATAATAAAATATTCAGACAACAAAACCTCACACTGTAATTTAAGTAAATTATTGTATATGTCTGTGTGTGTGTGTGTGTTGTGGTTTAACCCCGGCAGGCAGCTGAGTACCACGCAGCTACTTGTTCACTCTCTCCAGACAGGATGGGGAAGAGAATTAGAAAGTTAAAAGTACAAGAACTCATGGGCTGAGATAAAGACAGTTTAGGTAAAGCAAAAGCCACATGCACAAGCAAAACAAACCAAGGAATTTGGTCACTGCTTCCCATCAGCAGGCAGGAGTTCAGCCAGTGCCAGGAAAGCAGGGCTCAAGATGCAGAACAGTTCATTGGGAAGACAAACTCTATCACCCCAAAATTTGTTGTGTCCCCCTCCCCCGCCTCCTTCTTTACCCCAGCTTTTGTTGCTGATCATAAAGCCACGTGTCATGGGATATCCCTTGGGCCAATCTGGGCCAGCTGTCCTGGCTCCCAGGTCCTGGTGCACCCCCAGCCTCCTAACTGGTGGGGCAGCACAAGAAGCTGGCAAGTCCTTGGCTATGTGTAAGCACTGCTCTGACTCAACTGAAATATCAGTGTTATCAACACTATTTTCATATGTGAGCCTCTATGAAGAAAATTAACTCTACCACAGACAAAACTGTGACAGTGTGTAATAAGAAGCGTCACTGAGGTGTACGAACACAACGTATATTGCTAATCTTTTAATTTCACCCTCTTTCTCCTCTCTGTTTTTTTTAAGGTTTATTTTGACTGTAAATTATTTAGAGACTGAGTTTTCTCATTCAGCTCTATTGAATTAAAGACTATCGTCAAGAATCTGAGTTATTTAAGTTTTAACACCATAAAGATGATTGTTAGAAGTAATAACATTGTTTTAGGCAGGATTTAGCTCACACATACACACAAAGACTAAAAGTCAGATTAGTTTCTTCTCTGCAGATATCTCTGTTCTGTGCCATTGCATATGGCAAGAAAAATGAGTTCTGATTTAGGCTGAAAAAGAATAGTTAATCCAATTGTAACTGAAGAGAGGATTTGAGGTAGGTGGAATAACTGCATTTGTCATACAATTGTGTTTTGTAGTCTTTACAGCAGTGTGGAGAGAAGCCCAGAGTATGTTTACATACCTGTGTTTTCATTATCAAGTCAATATTTGATATGATGCAAGAGAAACAAAGATTCCTCAAAGGAATCGTCAAGACATGAAAACAGTTAATCAATGGACAAGTCCTTTATGGATTTCTTCATACAAATTTGAACAATTCAGTTACTTTATGTGAATTTGAAAACCAAAAAATTAGTGTATATTCAGACTCTTCTGAAAGTGGTGACCTGTCAAGGTCTGGTGACCCAAAGAAGGAAAAGATTCAAAAGATTTGAAATAACCCAAATGTGTTTTTTTGTTTGTGTTGTTGTTTTGTGTATTTTTTTTTCCTTATATATAGCTACAAGTCTTTCATGGGAGAGCTGATAGAGACAGGAAGTTTCATAAGTTGGATGAAAATTAATTCTTTCAAAAATTAATGTCATCTGGGTTTATTGTGAGCTCGCACTTCTAAGAAATTTTAACTTTAAAAACATTTACAAACGGTATTTTCTAGATTGGAAACTGGTTACCATCTGTGGTGTCACTGTCCTAAACTTACAAATGACTTTGCTGTGGTCTGAGGCCAGTCCTCGGATGCAATGAGGCATCTGACTAATGCTAACATCCAGCAAGCCCTCTTCTGCATGCAGCCTGCATGATAAGAGCTTAAAGAAAACAAAAAATACAGACATGACCAGTACTTGGAAAGCCAACCTCAGCTAACTAGCAGATAAGTAGTCAAATGTTGAGCATGACATAAATAAAGTTTATGCCCAATACTTAAAGTGTTTTCAGTACTAGAACACTAGACTTAGTGATTACCTACAAGGAATGTTTATGGGGTGTTGACGTATGGTAAAAGGGCAAATTCCCTGCAGAAATTATTGCTGATAATACTTCAGTCCCCTCTGATCATTACAGCATGTAACACTGGTTGCACAATGGAACAACTTTCAAATAAGAAGGAAATAAAAGTGCTGTGCTGATGCTGTGATGCATTAGCGTCATCTGGAAGAAATTTTACAGATTCATTAGGCAGCAAATTAGCACTGTTTAAAAAATTATTATGCAAATATGAAACAATCAGCTACAGCTAGTGAGTTTGAATGTTCAGTTTATCTAATTGAGGAGATCTTTAGAGTAGGCATGTATATCCCATCCTTCTGCAGAGAAAAAACCTCACGTGTTTCAGATGTGCAGTCCTTTACAACTCAAGGTCTATTTAAAAAAAAAATAAAAAAAAACTGTGACCAAAACTTCTTCACTGAGATCTGTGATACCAGTGAGAACAAAGTTTCTTCAGTGATGTGTGCTTATACAATTGTTCCAGCTTTCTGCAGGGAACAGGCATGTGAAGGAAAGAGTGGCTTCCTTTTAAAGGAAATCTAAGTTTACAGACCTTTGTAGGAGAAGATCCAATTCAGCAAAACACTTTCCTTTTTATACAATAATGGGAACAAATCAACCTGATTTTCATTGCAGGCAGATATGCTTCACAAATCAATGAGATGTTTCCACAATGTGCTGCAGACAAATATGATTTACTTGATATTGTGCAATGGGTTTTGTCAAACAGCTCCTTCTCAGAAAGCTAACGGAGAGAATAAACTGTCGAGGGAAAAGGGGGGAAGTCCTCCCAATGATTTAATAACTGCTGTCGGGCTAGGAAAGAAAGGGAGGACTGAAATACTTTGAGGTTTCAGAGAACATGGGTATCATCTATGGAACCTCAGAGGGACCTGTTTTGAAGCCCATGCTGTATCTTGTTCTTGTAGTTATCTGGCAAAAAAAATATAGAATGAGTTGGCAAAAATCTGATGGTACTAAGTTAAGTGAGGTGATAAAATGACTGTGTAGAGTAGCAGAACCAGCTTACAATACTGAAAGATTGGGCACATAAATGGCAGAGGAAATTGGATGCTGAGTATTTCAGAGAAAGGCTGCCCTAAGTGCATACTGGTGGACTTCAAACAATCTATTGAAAAGCATCTCAGAGTTGTAGAAGATAATATTACGAAAATATCAGTTCATCATTCAGTAATGAGTTAAAAAAAATACTAGAGAAGAAATAAAAAAAAAATAAAAAAAAAAATAAAAAACAGAAGCTGTGTCATAATATAGAACCACACTGTGCTCAAATCATGAAAAAACACATGCACTTCTGGTTACAAGGTCTTGAGGAAAAAAAGATGCAACAGAACTAGTAAAGGTGCAGAGAGAGGTGATAAGAGTCATCAAAATTATGCTGGCTTCCATTTCATGGAGATTAAATAAGCAAGGACTCATCTACATAAAAAAGAAGAGAGATAATTAAACAGGGTAGGATATGTGTCTGAAGTTATCGGTGACAAGGAGATGATAAATGAGGAACCATTATTCACTGTTTTAGATAACACACAATTAAGAGGCCATCAGTTGAAATAATCACAAGGAAAATGTAACCTAAGTTATATAATTTTGTTTCCCACC